AAAGGCTGGCCACTGGCTTTCTGATGCTAACGTGTAGCTTGACCATTTGGCTGGCCAGACCGGCGCTCGCTGGTGTGGTACATACAGCAGCGCAAGCTCAGGTAGGTGCATGGCAGCTAGCGCGACAGAGATCTGAGGGGATGGGATGCATGCTGATCTGGAGGGAAGGAGACCGGTCTTGGCTCGATGAACGTACAGGTCTGATTTGTCGGCCATGGTGGCGTACAGGTGCTGGCGTACAGGTGCGACTGGCGTGTCTGGGTGCTTTCTACTGGCGCTGCGGGGGAGGTGCTTAAGGTGCTGTACCTAGGTAGTGAGAGGTGCCTGCCACACTAACAAGTTCAAGGTGCTGGTTAGGGGGATAGCTGCAGAGGCGGGAAACTGCGAACGTCTGAGGTCATGGTGATGCGATGAGACAAGAGCACCGAGAGCAGGAGCGAGCAAGGAGTAGCAGCAAAAGCGACAGCAGCAGCGACGACGACGGCAGGACCATGCCATGCCGTCCCGTCCCGTCCCTTCCAGCTCGCGCTCGGTCAGTGACGCTTACATTTGAGACCGCCCCACTCTGGCGGGGCTGAACTTGGTTCCTCAGCCACGGAGGCGCAGATGCTGACTACACATCTCAGGCTACGTCCGTCTTGGTCGTGCAAGGGCACGAGGTGAAGGGTTTGCACATGGCAGCATTCGATGGATCGCCAGCTTTGCGTTCAGATATTCAGGACGCAGCATGGCTCCGTCCGACGCGGCGAACAGGTGGCACGTAGCACACACAACATATCGAAACTCGCACTCTGCTCCTGAGACAAGAGACAAAGCATGTCGAGTACTCAACGGGATCGAGAGACGTGGTGAACGAGTCCCCCAATTCTTAAAAGCGACGTATCAGCAAAGGATAATTCTTCTGCCCGGTTCTGTTCAACTCCACGCGCACCGAGCGCCGTCTCCCCGAAGGAAGCGCAGCGATCCCTATTCGTGGGGCCTATTTCTTCGCCGGGGGTTCAACTTTGAAGAAGAAAAGGAGAGAAAAGTCGAAAGAGCGCAGAGGCGGCCGCCGAATAAATGCATCTCGTGAGGTCACGTGCATTGTGCTCCACCCTCCGCGGCTGCGCTTCGCCATGAACGACCCACCCTTCTTTGCCGCTCCAGCCATATGCAGTCATGGCTGTGCGACGAGACGACGTCTAGCCATCCATCCATCCATCCATCCATCCAGGCACCGAACATCCATCTCGACAACCCGTCGACCATCCGCCCACCGCGTCAATTCCATCAGCGACCTGCCTGCCTTTCATTTCCGACCTGGTCGGATACATCCTGAGCGTCCACCCACCATGGCCTCCCACCTCGACACCGAAGCCGGCACCGAGCGCTTCGCCGACTACGAGGCCGAGCTCAAGCTCGTGCAGGCCGACCTCGCGCAGAAGCTCGACCAGATCCCCGAGCTCAGCGGCGAGCCGCGCAAGGCCGCCATCTCGGCCGCCGAACGCGCCGTCGAAGAGGCCGACGAGCTCCTCGGCCAGCTGCGCCTCGAAAAGGCCAACATACCCTCACCGCACCGCGCCAAGACGAACGCCCGGTTCCGCAACCACGAGTCGGACGTCGACGCCGCGCGCCGCCGCCTGCGCGCCCTCTCCGACGAACGCGCCGCCCTCTTCGGCGCCCGCTACACCGACGACCCCGCAGGCCCCGGCGGCGGGCCCTCGGACCGCAACCTCGCCCAGCGCCAGCAGCTCCTCAGCGGCTCCGACCGCCTCGACCGCTCCACCCAGCGCCTCAAGAACAGCCAGGCCCTCGCCAACGAGACCGAGGGCCATTGGCGCCAGCACCCTCGCCGACCTCCACCGCCAGCGCGAGACCATCCAGCACACCCACGAGACGCTGCTGCAGAGCGAGGGCTATGTCGACCGCAGTGTCAAGACGTTGCGCGGCATGGCGCGTAGGTGAGCCTTCTATTTTCCTTGTTGCTTGTCCGTCTTGCTGGTGTCGGCCATGCTGTTGTGGGCGTGCTGGAGTGGACATGTTGAAGTGGGCACGTTGGAGTGGTTCGTGTCAAGAATAGCGCTGACGGCCCGCAGGATGGCTACAAATCGGGTGATCACCATTGCCATCATCACCATTCTCGTCCTTCTCATCGTTGCTGTCATTTTCAGCAAGTTCAGGTAGACAGAGCAGAGAGAGAGAGGGAGAGAAGGAGAGCGAGGGCAGCAGCACGCACGGCGTCTTGGGAGTTCTCTTTAGTTTTTTCTTTTCTATTTCATTCTATTCGTCTTTTTTGGTTGGGTCGGCTCTGTTCATTTTGCGTCGTGCTTGATTTTTGTTTCTTCGTCTCAGTGTGTGATGCCAGTTGCATCGCTCCGACGGCACGACAGTACATAATGCAAACCATGCTTCCACATGCTGCGTCACGGCCCATTGGTGTGACGCTGTCATCGCTTTGGTCATGTCTGCGGACTCTTCAGACTGTAACAAACGCCTTCAAACTCCTTCGTAGCGACCATGCCATGCTGCATAGTCATGCCATCTCACTGTCAGGATCACGACAGCCACATCGACACAAGGGCATAGCAAAGATCTTTCATTCCGTACGCCTAATCATGCCGCAATCAAATCTAAATCGTTTCTGGCCCGGACAGCCATGGGGTATAGTCTGCACACCAATCCCACGCCTGCTGCCGAGGCAGGCCACACGTCCCACGCTCGGTCCGCCTCTCTCTCTCTCCCTCTCTCTACCTCTACCTCCGGCCGCGCGGCGACTTTTGGATACCACCACGCGGTCCGCCGCCGCCGCCGCCACGACCACCACCACCACCACCAAAGCCGCCTCGCCGCCTGTCCTCTCCCAGTCCGCGACGTCCGGAAGCAATGCCGCCACGACCGCCGCGACCGCCAGGACCTCCACGTCCGCGTCCACCGCCAAAGCCACGGCCTCCACTGCCACCACCACCGCCGCGGCCTCCGCCGCCGCGACCGAATCCGCCACGGCCCCGCGCGACGTGCGCCTTGACAGCGTGCGCCGTGCCCTCATCCATGTCCTCATCCATGTCGTCGTCGTGCTGGTCCTTGCGGTTCTTGTTGCTGAACTTGAGCTTTCCACCGCGTCCCCGCTGCGCGACGTCCTTGCCCTTGAGCGCCGCAACGTAGGCACCCACGCCCGAGGCGTCAGGGTTGTCGACGTCCATGGCGCCGCCGGCCTCGTCGTCGTCGTCGTCGTCGCGGCCGAGGATGAGCTTGCCATCGAGGTCGACCTTGGTCTTGGAGCGGCTCGGCTTGCGCGCCTTGACCGGCTTGGTCGACGAGATGCTGGCGAGCGCGTTGCGGTCGAGCAGGTCGAGCGGCTCGTCCTCGTCCTCGACAATGTAGCGCTGCCCCGTCCCTTGACCTTGCGCGCGTTGGCGCCACGCGCGAACCGG